CCCCGCTGCGGGGAGAGGCGCGGGGGCGGGGTGAGGGGCGGAGGGCGACCCGCCCCTGCCCCCAATCCCAGCGGGGTCGGCGGCCGGGACGACTGCGGCTGTCAGTCTCTGGCCGCCCGGCGGGTATCTCTGCGCCCCCAGCACGGTCAGCCCCAACCTCGCAGTACCCCTGACCCCCTGACCCTGACCCGGCTCCCATCTCTGCCCTTTCCTAAGGGAGAGAAAGGATAAGTGCCATGGAGAGGCTCGTCTGCGCCCCCACCCCACCCCAAGGCGGACCTCCCCTCTCAAGGCCTGGAGTCCCCACCTCTCTCTCCACCCCAGACCCGAGGCCTTGCTAGCTGGGCAGAAGTGAGCATAGTGCTAAGTAGGTGCTAGGGGCATACATTAGGTGCTCATCGTTTACCGTGGCGCCGAGAAGAGGGTACTCTGACTCACTGGAGGGCCTAGCTTTGTGACCCCAGGCCAGGCCTTTGCCTTCTTTGGACCTCCGTGTTTATCCCCATGAGAGCAATAACGGGCATCTATGAGGTGCCGATATTGTGGTGGGCTTTACTTGCTTTCTGTGGCTGAATTCTCACTGCAACCCTATGAGGTCGGACTCTACTGTGAACATTGTGCACAGGAGACTGCAGCGTGGACAGGCTAACACCTGTCCAAGGACCCACAGCAAAGCCAGGATTTGAATACAACCTGGTCCAACTCCCAGAGCTGTGCTTGATTCAACTGTCTCCCCACCCAGAGCGACTTCACACATCCTGGAATTCCTGAGATTCTAGAATTTGTCTGTGCCAGCTCCTCCCCAGCCAGAGAACAATCTGGAACAATCTCTCTCTAAGAGCAATGTTGGTGGTAACGGCTCCAGGTCTCCCCACCCCCATTCTAGCCTGGCTGAAAGCTGTGAGCTGTGGTTGAGCTAATGGCCCTAAAGTGCAGGGGGCTTTGGAGCCGTGGCAGGCAGCCACAGTTAATAGAAGGGTTTGGATCGCCCCTCCTGCCTTGGGGGCATCCATATGCCTACCTCTGCCCCTCCTGCCCAATCCACTCCGTTTCTGATCTTGGAGTGGCAGAGAAGTGCCTGTAACCACTACCCTCTCTCTAACAAGACCTCTGGCAGCTAGAGGAGCACCCACCCCCACCTCCACTCGGTAACGTTCTCCATGCCGTCAGAGAAACAAAGTTGAGGAGAAAGGCATGGACCTTTCTCAGGCCCCCATCTCTCCAAACGGTCCCCCCACTATCTGAAATTCCACCATTAGGGAGGCATTTTTCTCAGGCCCCCATCTCTCCAAACGGTCCCCCCACTATCTGAAATTCCACCATTAGGGAGGCATTCCTTTGGATCTTAAAGGCCTTCTGGTTTTTCAGAGGCCCTGGAAGGGCTAATCCTCTTAGGAAAGGGGACACCTTGCAAAGTTATCTAACGGAATACCTTCAAGATCTTCCTCCCCTGCCCCCTGGGTTTTAGATGATGAAGCTGAGGTTAGAGATGGGAAGAGCTGGGTGCAAATATACACAGTGAGTCAACAGCAGCAGTGGAACAAGCCTCTGCTCCCAACACCCACCCCAGGCCTCCTGCCGCTGCCTCCCAAGTTTCTACTTGGTCACTTTGTAAGGGGTGAGATGGGAGGGGGCTCGGGGGCTCTTGCTGAGCAGCAGAATCTTACTGCCCAGCCCCCTCAGTACCCCGGGCCTGCCCCACAGAGTCCCATCATTTCCTCAGCCACATACCTGCTCTTGAGGGTGAGCCTCAGCTGGGACCTCGACCTGCTTGGGAGAGGAGCCGGGAGCCAGAGCACCTCTCTCGCTCTCCTTTTCCTCTTCTCTTTCTCTCTCTCTCCTGGCAGCTGCTGCCTGCCCCACCCCACCCGGCCCCGCCCCACCAGCTGCAGCTTAGCCCCTA